TGAATTAAAATTAGACAGATGTATAGAGGAAAAAACACAGTTACATTTTATTGCTGTTATGTAACAACAACCTGTCCAGTGAAAAAATAATTATTAGAATCATTAACAGTTTAATCCATCTTATTTACTTCCCAAATCTGACTTGTAATTGCATTCAAATACACTTTTTTTTTGTCTGCCCGACGAAATTTCATACACACATCAAAACGTCATGGGAAATGATGAATTAGATTTGGAAGCCTCAAATTCGTGCGTATAAGCTTTCACTTATTTTCCTGTGATATAATAATACCGTGTAGATGGTGTAAGATGGACTAATTACCTTTGTGAAGTGCTTTTTTTTTCCTTCGATTTGTGGGATAGTTCAATGCGGCTCCACTTTAAATGGCTGAAAAAAAAACTAAACTTATCATCTTGTTTAATTGGATTTGGCTCTGTGTTTCAGTGCGATTTTGAAACAAGTCCCTGCAACATAGTTGTTAATTTTGAGCATGATGTTTTAACGCACCTCCTCGAACAAGGCCCTAAAATTATAGTAAAACCCTTATTTATTAACTCGGTTTTTTAAACCCTATAATTTTCAGAAACAAAAAGGGTTAGCACCCAAGCACCCGTCCGATTTAGTTTAGCTTGTTAATATAGATAACATTTTAACAATTACTAATTAGATTTTTCATTCAAATTACCTAGGTACTTATAAATTCAAATTCAATTGTGATAAATTAGCCCCGTGCACCTGAAACTTCTTGGTTCGTAAATGGCCATTCACGACTTCGGTGTAACAATTATCGGTGACTGCAGTTTTGCAGCTTGTCCAGGGGCGACTGAAAAATGGACAAAAGTGAACCAAAGCAAAAGGTCCATTGTTGTGGCGCACTGAAACAAATTAAGATAATATCTTTGACAGATATGTTGCGTCATTATTGTTCCCACACGTCTTGAAACGCGACCGGCGCACTAAACTTTAATGGTACTATTGTTTTGTTTGTTTTTTTTTCTTTTAATAGAAATTTATAAATTTGAAGAGAAGTTTTTTGCGGATTTGTCTAATAGTTTTTATTCCAAGAAGGTGTTGTCTCATATTTTTCTTTCTTTATTACTCTTGGGCAACACCGAGGGTTTGACTGAAATTGAATTCAGAATGTCAGCGAGAAATTGGTTCGATAACTCGATTCCTGTGAATCAAGTTTGATCAATTTTTGCAAATGGCTTGTAACTGAAAAATTTGCTAGTATTACTGTGGTTTTTGACTACAGAAAGATAAACTTCCAGTAGAGCAAGAACTTCTGATATGTTGAGTGGTGGACTAAAATAATTATAGTCCATGGGTTCACGAAAAAACGTAGCAAATTAGGTTGAAAGAATGAAACTTGGCAAGGTTGTTTTTTAGACTATTTTAAGAAATTTGACCCGCAGCACCTAAAATTTCACCCCTTAGGAGGGTGGTTTAACCCCTATTTCATTTTTCAAGGGTTAAAATTAGTAAAAAGGTCTATGTCATCATATTATGTCAATATTGGTGTCATTTTAGACTAATTCGGATGTGAGGAATTCAAAAAAAAATCTCATCTTCATAGGACCCAACGGTCGGGCTCTATTGCTGTCATATTTGACATAAGTGTCAAAAATATCGTCTTTTTACATTCAATCAGACCTATCTGGAAAAAATCTATGGCGCATGGCGATTTATATAGAATTTGGCATGAGAAACCTGCACCACCTCAAATTTCACTCTTCAGGAGGTTTGTTCAACCTCTATTCGATTTCAGAAGGGTTAAAATCATTGAAAATGTCCATCATATTATTCCAATATTGGTGTCATTTTGGACTAATCCGAATATAAGGACTTTGCAAAAATATGACATCTTCATAGGACCCAATGGTAAAGCTCTATTGCTGTCATATTTGACATAAATGACAACAATATATTTTTTTACATTCATACTTATCTGGAAAAAATATATGGTAATTTACATAGAATTTGGCTGAAAAAATTCAAAAAATCGAATCTATAGGTACAGGTCATTGATACAGCTCTAAAGCAACGTTCCACCAAAAATAACAACATCCTAAATAGGCTGCCTTCCTGGGCGGATAATTCATTGAAATCTTAAGCTACAAGAGAGAAAAAAAAAGGGAATAGGATTAGTCGTTTTACACTTCTTGCAGGCAAGCGTACAGGGCAATTCGCTTCTTCTGCAGGAGCAACGCATTGTATCACATGGCGTGTTGCACCTACATGTATACAGTGATCTGCATGCCTCCCAAATATGGGGTTTTTTCAACCATAATGGTACCCACTTGCCTTTATCATCTTTATATCCCCAGCTAGTTGGTGCAGGGAGATCGGGCTGGTGTACCTGATCTGCATTTAGGCGACTGTCACAAAAAGATTAGTTTTACGGATTCAATATCATCCCTAAAGTATATCTTTTTTGGCCGCATTTACTTCACGGCCGCATTTACTTCACGGCCGCATTTGCTTTATTACTTTACGGCCGTTTTTACTTCACGGCCGCTTTTACTTTACGGCCGCTACTTTGGTGAAAATAAACAAACAATCGGAAACGCAGTGCCGTAACCATCAACACAACCAATAAACAATTAGTTCCAAGTTTTCAATTTTAGCTCTATCCAAATTTTTACATAAAATGCTAAAAAAAAATTGCATGATTAAAAATGTGGGAGAAGTATTTTCTTGCATTTTTTTCGGAAAATGCCAAAATTAAATAATCCTCAACGTTATGGTCTTCAGGTCCACCTATGTTATACTCTATGTTGAAATTTACAATTACTTATAGTCCGAAATATCTAACATATCAGCAAGTTTTCAAAATTGATTGCTTTTTTAAAAAAGCTCAATGTAAGATACCAGGCGAAAAAGTCGGCAATTTTCTATAATCACACTCTCTTTATCGTAGTTTTTGTTATTAATAATTGTGTATCTACCTATCTTTGCTGGATTATTTATTTTATCAATGAAGTTTAAAGCTACTGTTGAATTTTCTTCTTTTTTCAAGAACGAACACTCGCCTAAAAAATTTTGTGTGCACCTCGGCCGAATGATCTTTTTTGGCCGAATCAGAAATTTGCGGCCGAGGCGCAGCCGAGGCCAAGCAAGTTTCAGGTGAGGCCTTTGGTACACAAATAACTATTTTCGGCATACTTTCCGAAAGTATTTTACTTAAGAAAGTATGCCTCTTTCAGCCTAGGTCGGGAAGTGATTACTTTCCGACCTAGTCTGGACTCCTCACGTAATATACGATTCTAGTCTAAAAAACTCCAAAAATTGATTAAACTCGACCGTTGGCGAAAATGTGAAGTAAATGTGACATTTTAAATTTTAAACTGATTACGCATTGGCATTGTTGTGGCAAGACCGCCAGCAAAAATAATCCTACTCCGGAGTAGGATTATCTTTGCTGCCAGATAAAATTTGTTTCTGATTGCTATAACGACTTTTAGGGACTAGGCCGAAAATGGAGCAATTTACGGCCTACGCCAGAAATGAAGCATTTTACGGACTGAAATGGGTCCGTAAAATAGACATTTTTGAAAGCTAATACTTGACTGAAATTGACAATTGACAATAATGACACGACTACTAGGAGTCGGAGGGCTGACTGAAAAGAAATCTGTAGAGATCGATATTACAGTTTTCTGATTCGGTTTAAAAATGCCAAAGCGAATATTGCTTGGGTAGGCGTAAAATGAGTTTTTTTTGTTTTTTTTTTCTGGTATGTTGCGTGGTTGTGTCCAAAAAGCGCCAAGACAAGCCGCAAGCCGGGCGCCTTCGGGGCCCAGGTCCTTGTGCGCGCCCTGTTGCTACGTCCCTGCATTGATTTTGCACGAGATTTTTGACAGCTTATTTTAGATGTTTTTTTTCTGTGTAACGTTGCTGTAAAGCTGTATGCTTCAGTTCTATCTTCATTAATACGACTTGTACAGATTCGAAACATATTTTTTTGGATTTTTCGAGCCAAATTCTATATAAATCGACATATATTTTTTCCATATATAGGTATGAATGTAAAAAAAAAGATATTGTTGACATTTATGTCAAATACGACAGCAATAGAGCCCTACCGTTGGGTCCTATGAAGGTAACATATTTTTTTTCAATAGTCTAAAATGACACCAATATTGGAATAATATGATAGACATTTTCAATAATTTTAACCCTTTAAAAAGCGAATAGGGGTTGAACAACACCCCTGAGGGTTGAAATTTAAGGTGCTGCGGGTTTCTCATGCCAAATTCTATATAAATCGCTATAGATTTTCTCCAGATAGGTCTGAATGTGAATAAACGATATTTTTGACACTTATGTCAAATATGACAGCAATAGAGCCCTACCGTTGCGTCCTATGAGAATGAGATTTTTTTTTTTAATTCCTCACATTCGAATTAGTCTAAAATGACACCAATATTGAAATAATATGATGACATGGACATTTTTAATAATTTTAACCCTTAAAAAATAAAATAGGGGTTAAACCACCCTCCTAATAGAAATCTTAGGTGCTGCGGGTCAAATCCTTTAATTAAAATAGTTTAAAAAACAACTCTGCCAAATTTCATGCTTTTAACCCAATTTGCTACATTTTACTTGATGGTCCGCCGCATAGACTATTAGACAAATAATAGCAGTCTCTGTCAAAGATCCTCTAGTCTATGGTAATTGATTGAGTTTAATGTTGTAAGCTTATAGAGTTTCTTTTCAATAAATTGGATCTTCAAGAATCAAGTCCAGTCTTTCAATGTCGTGTACCTATATAAATACACAATAGTTTTCGAGTCACAATAAGGTAAAATTTAACTCAACTGTAATGCATAAAGTCATGCTTAAGTAGTTTTAAAATTTAGGTCACATTGATGTGAAAAAAAATTGCATTTTTGACCCTGAAAAATGTTGATCAACTAGACATAACTTAATCAATATTTCACAATTTCTAATGCATATTTATGTACCTATATATTCTCAATCAGAATTAAATGCTCTTTAAGATAAAACAAAATTGAATCATTTTATCTCAAATTTTTGCGGGATGTTGAACGTCAAAGTTGAAACTTTGTCTCAAATATTGAATAATGTAGACCTTGCAATACAGAATATCCGCCAAGAAGAGCGAAAATACTAAACTAAATAGTACAACTATAAAACTGAAACAATTATTACGTCACCATTATAATTCAATGTAATTAATTTATTACATGCAAGCTATTCGAATTTGCTTATCAAAACGATCTAGACACACAGGACCACCCATTTACTACTCTATTCTCCACCGTGTATTATAAGATTATGCAAACTCCATTGACATTTTTACAAATCCTAAATAATAAATAGGCACACCGCGGTCTATATTTGTAGTAACAAAAAGCGCCTTGATCCTTTGATTCTTTGAGTTCAGTGTTGTCTACTTATTTTTCACTTAAGTTTGGCTGCAGGGTAAAATTCCATCAAGAATTCTCGATTTATTTCTGTAAAACTAATGAAATAATACTGACGTGGATAAAAATCTTGATTGAAAAGGTTACGTTTGTGAAGCTTTTACCCATAGATCATGACTATGCAAGCAACAATATTTCAAAAATACACTGATGGCTCTTAATAAAAAACCCAAAACAGGACTAACCACTATTCTCAGATAATAAACAAAGTGATTTAAGATTATCAACAGTTCGCTAAGAGTCAAGGTGACAAGATGCATCGTCTGTGTTATTTCTTATTGTTTTTGAACATTTTAAACATAATTAACTCTTGTGAGTACGTGCAAAATATCGCAGTGAAATACAAGCGCCATTTCAGTGCTAGTTTTGGTAAGATATCAATTAACAATCAGTGCATTAGTGAGTTAACGTTACACGTACCCGATATTAAAACGATTGTTGTGAAATGTGGGCAAAACAAGTTATCACAAATTCAAGAAAATTTTATTGGAAATATATCTACGTTGGAAGTCTTGAAAATCAATCATTGCGATATTATTAGGATTGAAAGTGGAGCCTTTGCAAACCTGCCTCAATTGAAAACGATAATTATTGAAAATAATCCTTTATTGGAACATATACCTAAAGGACTCTTCAACCAATTGAGCCTAAAACAAATCTTTCTCAGAAACAATCGAATCAATTCTATAGAGGATGAGGCGTTTGCAAATTTGCCCAGCTTAACCATTATAAATTTATCAAACAACAATATTAGGCATATGAGCAAAAATTGGTTCACAAACACCAGAAATATCAAAAATGTTTTTATTAGCAACAATAAAATTCAGCAAGTGCCTCAGGAGATGTTCAGCGGCTGGAGATATGCAAATTTTTTCGATTTTAGTTCAAACTCAATATCCATAATCAACGAGGACGCTTTTAAGGACGTTGCCTCAACAATCCACTATTTTTCATTAGCTTCCAATAATCTCAAACAAATAAACACAACAACCTTCCCAAAAAACTTCATTATCGACTTGGACTTGAGCTCAAACCTATTCAATTACCTTCCGCATGCCTTCTTACAAAACATCAATGTACGACAATTAACATTAACAGCCAATCCGTTTAAATGTAACTGTTTAGCCGATATCAATGGAGCACTGGCGAGTAAAGGGGTCAAGCTTTATTGTGGATTTTGTAATAAAAATAAGGCACATTGCAAAGAAACTTCGATACCAGTTTGCGCCCATCCGAGTCAAATGGAAGACAATTGCGTTGAAAGCGTTGATGATGAGGCAACAGAAAAACTACTGGGATTCGCCAAGGAATTGGGCTATGAGGATTTCAAGGGGCTGGTTGCGGAATGTAAAAAGAATATTTAGTTGAATAATAAAGTGAATCATTGTTGGATGGAATAGTGTTTTTATTTTTGACTAATTTTAAACAGGTTAACTTGGAGTGTTCCATTTGCTATAGAATGTAATTTAATTAAATGAGACATCTTCAGATTCTTGAGTATCGACTGAAGGTTACAAGTTTTTTGAGTCTTGTCTATTCAAGGTTTTGCAGTAGGTAGGTATCTAATATGTTGAACCACAAGTCACTTCAAAATCTAACGTCTCTTCCAAGTTTAGGTTTTGAGTCTTCTTACTAGGTTTGCAGCTAAAAATCTTCACTTGGAGTCTTTCATAGAGTTTTTCAATATTTTCTAAAGTACCTAGCTTCAAGTTTTTTCCTTGTGTCTTTTTTTTTACATCAAATTTTGTCTATTTCAAGCTCTTGAGTTTTGAGTTCCTACTGAACGAATGCCTACACCAGTTCAATTCAGTCTGAAATAATTTAAAAGAATTTTATCTGAATAGAAACAATTCCAGAGCCTAGAATAAAAAAATAAAGAAACAGGAATGAAATTGATCAGCAGAATTCATGAACCAGGAATTAAAAAAATATAGAAAATTGGAGAGCCTGGAATGAAGAAATAAAGAAGCTTCCAAGAGACTGGACAATTATATCAATATCAAATTTTGTCTATTCCAGGCTCTTGAGTTTTGATTTCTTACTGAACGAAGGCTATAGCTCAATTCTCCTCGAAGTTCTACCATTCCTAAACCCATTACTTCTGCAAATGTATTTCAAAAACCTATTGTAAGTAGGTAGTTGTTGAAATCAATTGCGGAAGAGACTTTTGTATAATTCATGCTTTTTCTATTCCAGGCTCTTCAATTTTCTCTATATGGACAAATTCAAGAACCGGGAATAAACAAAAATTGAGAAATAGAGAAAAGGAATGTTAAAAATATTTATAGATAAGTGGACTTTCTGGGGTGCGTACAAAGACGGCAATGCTTATGCCAAAACTTACTTTTCCCCCTCCACGGTAATGCCGAACCACGTAGGTTGGAGCCGAACTTGAACGCAAAATGCCAATTTTGGCTTGGCTGTAGCCATTCCTGAACGCAGCCCAAGACGAACATCCTCGATATTTGCTAAGATAATATGCTTTATATTTTTTATTCCATAATCTGTTCGATCTCTGACAGGAAACAATAAACACTGACTTCAAGCAAAATCTATTTCAAATCCAATTAGACGAACCGCGCCCACGCACACTTTTCCTTTGGACAATAACAATAATTTTTCCGCGAGGACCGTTAATTAATTTCAATAAAAAAATCGATAAAAAGGTTAAGGCTGGCAATAAAATGTTGTATTTTAACCTGTTGCAATTTTTGCAACCATATAAGTACTGGGAAACTCATTAATTTAAACGTATTAATCGTTTAGTCGAGTATAATCTTATCCATTGAGTCGATATACATTCGGTTGCTACACCTTTTGTTTGTAGCCAGCGTTGATTAGTATAATTTAGCATTAACAACCTTTTAAAATTAAACGTCTTTCTGCGAACATACATAAATATTTTTTAGGTTAAGGAACCGTAAAAACCTCTACCATACGATACCTTGTGTGGTTGATGGTGGTAGAGGACACACGAGGCAGTTCCTCGAATTTCATTCGTTACGTAGGTACCGAAAGAAAATTTATGGTATTTAACGCCCTTGGAATGAATGGAATGTGAATTATTATCGAAAAAAAGCGACTCTTGATCCTTTTTTTTTTTTAATCGGAAAGCTTTAACCCAAACTATCAGAATTTTAAAATCTGCAATATTTTTCTCATGAGTACCAGCTCTGGCTACTCTACTCTAAATTACTTTTTTTGCCAGGACAACAATGCAAATTTCAAGTTCATTTTTAGTTTCGAGATTATGAAGAGCTCTTTTCTTGAGTGTTGCTTATAGATAAGAATTCGCCTTATAATGACTTAAAATAAAATATCCTTAATACTACCAATATTTATAGAACATCCTTGCTATAGTCAGTTCCTGGTATCCGCCACTGAGTCTACAACCATCAAACCAAAAATCCGTAAAGGTACTTCTCATACTTTACACTCCAGCCAGCGTTGCCCAATTTTTCAATTATTTCAAATTGCCCACTTGTCGGTACTGATTGAACGGCCGGATACCGGCTTGATATATTTAACGTTAATTTTCGAGTACAGTATTGGTTTAAGGGTGGACAAGACGATCGCGAGATAACGGTAACGAATTACTTATTGAAATTCGGCAATTATTCAGGGAGTAGTTCGGGCCCCCACAGATTTAATACCGTACCCGTTATAGAGTCGAATTAATTTATTTAAAAGGTGGTACTTAAAATATCTCAAGCGCTGTGATTAATGTTCTTTTGGTACCTTCGTGTTGTTTTTATAATTAAGCATTAATTGTACATTACGTTGTTTTTTGCTTACTTTATAAGGAGTCAATTAATTATGAGAAGAGATATGGTACCTTGTGCACGGTGTGGTCTTGTCAGAGGAAAAATGGGGTTATCCGATTTATTTTGGAAACAAGAGAAATTGTCACCACAATGATTTCCTCTCTGTAAGTCCAAGATTTTTTTAGAATAGTCAATATTTTCCAAGTTGTAATAAGGCTCCAGCTAGACTTAGACTATACATAAAACCATCAATTGGAAAAACGTCTCTAAGGTTAGTTTGTTCTTTTGAAGATTGAGGACAATGACAATCATCCAGGAAAACCGACATAATTGTAGGTTAGATAACTAAAAGTACCACAATTTAAAATATGACAAACTTTTGGGTGTCCAGGATCCATAAAGATCATTTGATAGGTCTGTGTGCAATGTGGAAGGAATGTTGACACGGTTAATTTTTTTTTTAAACGAGAAGAAATGCCTAAATAACTAAAAATTCCGCCTGCTGCTGAATAATTTATAGTCACTTACGTTCCGAAGAAAGAGTTTTATTTGTTGACCTTTTCGGCGTCCTTGGACGTATATGCTGCTGCAAAAAAAAGTGGGACGTACTTTTGGCACACTTCCTGAAAAGTACTCGCTGCACAGATAATAAATTACTTTGCATGCACCAACGTGTAAACAAAGACCCCACGCTGGGATATTGTTGACCAAATATCAAATTTTGTACTACAATCGCTTTGTAATAAACTAAGTAAGTTTAATTAATTCAGCTTAGGTATTTAATTTATTTAAGGTAGGTACTACCGCCCAATCACTAATGATTTTAAATCGATTGGAAATAGGATTCCGGCTTGTTTAAAAGATTTTCATATTGTGGGTGGTTTGTGCTTGTAAGTGTCTGAATCTGAATAAAATTTGAATTTCAAATGACTCCTCAGTATTGCTAAAAGGATGAACAGAACTCTTATTGGACATACAATATGTTTGCTGTGAATGCATCAATGGATAGGATTTTTGGAACACAAAAGTCCAACCGAAGCTTTGAAAGATGCAGTGGCACCACCAGAATTATGGGAGAGAAGCGTCAGACTACAGAAACTGAGTATTTTTAGTTGTGTTTGGGCAACAGCCAGATGTTACATGGATAATCCGTTGGAGCAGTAATAAAACCCCATACGGATACAAATGACGGTATCTTGGAACAAAGGAAATTCATGGAGGTGATGATAACAGATTAGATGAAAGTTTCTTCACAATTATTGGTCTGCAAAAATCACAATTCGTCACAAACTTGATAAGAGCAAGAAGAAGAGATGGATTTGAACAATCAAGAAAGAGCTAATATCTGGATAATTATTAGGTTAAAAGTTCAAAATACAGAAGTAGGGAGAAAATATCTTGAAGATTACATAGCTTTTGCACTAAGAGCAAAATATGTAGTTTCTTGACGACGTTTCACAAAAGTTTTCTGACTTCAAAAAATGAATGGAAGCAGTTCAGAAATTGATTTATTCAGAAAATTCCAAAGTAGAGGAGTTTTTTTCAAACACAAAAACTGTTGATTCAAAATGGATTGTTCAAAGTGTAATGAAGATGACTGAGATGAGAATTTGAATCGAAGTTAAATTGTAGGCCTGAGAATTTCCTCGATTACAGTGGAACATAATTATGCACCAGTTACTCTTTTAATAAGGGTTAGAGCATTTTCAGCCTCTGTGAATTAGTGATGCCGAGAGACTCGAGACTGGTCTCGTCTCGTCTCGACTTTTCGAGACGAGACTGGCTTTTGGTCTCGTCTCGTGAAGTCTCGACGAGACGAGACCAGACTCGAGATTACACTTAAAATTTTTCTTTCATAGCTTTATTAATGGACTATTCTGGGCTATTTGAATATGAAATCAGTAATCTAAATATCAGGGTTACTCTTTACTGTGATTTTTCACTAATTGCTTTTTCACTGTGACAGTTTGGACTTCCGTTATAATATAAAAACAAAAACCATATATACAGGATGTCCGAAAAATAGCGTAAAAGCTCTCCACGTAGTAGAGGACCCTTTGAGAAATCCTAGAAAAATAATTGCGTAGCCAGTAGGGGGGCAGGGGGGGCGACGGCCCCCCCCGCCCCCTCGCGTATGGCGCCCCTACCGCTTTTAAAAAACAAAAGCAAAAAATAAGAAATAAAATTATGCTGTTTCTTATTTATTTAATGAACCTTTTCACTCTTTATTCTTTATCGTAAGTCGGCATTGTCGGCAAATGTTTCAGTCCAATCAGAGAAAAGGTGATAGTTTCTGTTTTGATGATTGATGTGGTATTTGTTTATTAAACTATGGGTTAATGGGTCGGGTGGAACTGTCATGCGTCTGGATTTTCCTGGATTTGTTCTAGTTTTCAAGGCGTTCGGAAAGATTTTTTGAAGTTAACGGCATGTACACACATTATTTCTGGACTGGTAGGGCTTAAAATACATAAATGTTTTTCGACGTGGCACCCGGCACCCGGAAAAAAAAATGTTTTTTAATGGTTAAAATAAACTTTTTTGGGCGTGGCACTTGAGGACATTTTTCGCCTCCGGCGGGTTTTTCGTCTTTAATATTTTCCCCCAATAAGCGAATATTACAAAATCATACAAACATTTATTTGTTAACCCCCCCCCCCCCCAAGAGAATTATGCGCCCCTTATATGTTTGCCCCCTCCGCCCCGCAAGGCTGGCTACGC